GAGACGAGGAACAGCGAGAATGCCAATCTCTATACACAAGACTGAGGTCTCTCCTACGGCATTTGCAAATTCTAGATTTAATTTTCTCCGATACCAAGGTTCTTTGCAAACCCACGGGTTTTTATCAGAGATTTGTTCACGAGGCAATTCAGATCTACAAACACAGACACAATTTCAACCGAGAAGATGGTTTCAAATTAAGCAACCATTGGAAAGATGTTCTAAATCGAACCAAACATTAAACCAATTTTCAATGGTACAGTATATTTTTCAAGTAGTGGTACCCCAAACTTTCGCAGCTCTTAAAAATTCCCTTTTCACACCATCAATAGGTAAACTCCCCCCCCCCCCGCGCCAAACGGCATGTGCACCCGCACGTACACCACCTCTATGCTAAGTCGGCCAATCAAATGCTAATTTTTATGCTAATTACTTTGTCAAGGCACCTTGTTTCCTCGCAAACAGCTTAAAGGTCGCGGTCTGAGCGTGGCTGTGTTTCACTCCAGCGCTGTCCTCGAGACAGCCTGATCCCTTCACCTGATGAAGGCCGCTTGTGTTGTGGCCGAAACGTCGTGATTTTTGTTGGTTTATTTTTTACCTACGTGACTTTACCGAATAGAAACAAAGAGTAGGCATTTGCAAACTCCGTCCAGGCAACTATCACAAAGAAAAAGAAAGAAGATCCAGAAAGGCAATGCCCATTGCATTATAAACCTCACTCCCTCCAGAAATGCCGTGAGTTCAGCAGGAAGCCACTGGAAGAGCGGAAGAATATGTTGAACGAATTTGGAGTGTGCTTCAAATGCTGTGCTTCTACAAACCACCTTGCACGGAATTTCAAGGCAGATATCAAGTGCGAGGAATGTGGCAGCGACAAACACACAACTGCTCTGCAAACATTTTACTCCAAACCTTGTGGCACTAAGACTTCCGATCCCGAAGCAGTGCACGGCGGGGTGCAAGGTGAGACCACCGCATCCACTTCGTCAATCACAACCAAATGCACAGAAGTCTGTGGAGAAGGCTTCCAAGGAAAATCTTGCTCATAGATATGCCTCGTCCGAGTATTTCCCAAAGGACATCCTGAAAGGGCAGTAAGAATGTACGCCATAATGGACGGCCAGAGCAACAAGTCGTTGGCAAGGTCAGAGTTCTTTGATCAGCTAAGCGTATGTGGGAATTCCTTTCCATACACGCTCAGAACATTGTCAGGACTGATGGAGACAGCGGAAAGAAGAGAGAACGGCCTCATGGTAGAAACCATAGATAGCACCATGAAGCTAGCTCTTCCTATGGTGATAGAGTGCAATGAGATACCAGACAACAAGAGTGAGATTCCCACGCCCGATGTCGCACGTCAACACCCACACCTGAAACCCATAGCAGAGTTCATCCCGCCATTGGATCACGGGGTACAGATTTTACTTCTGCTTGGCAGGGACATGCTGAGAGTCCACAAGTTTCGCGATTAACGCAACAGACCTCACGATGCTCCCCATGCCCAGAGACTCAACCTAAGATGAGCCATCGTAGGTGATGTCTGTCTCGATGGAACACACAAATCAGACCGCATGAGCACATTCAGAACAATTATGCTCACGAATGGACGCACGTTGCTCTTCAAACCGTGTCCCAACCACTTTACGCTGAAAGAGAAACTGGAAGAGAGAAGTCAAGGTTGTACCATGCAGACGTATGAAGAAACCTCCACGCTGGAAACACAAGAAGATGATGTTGGACATATGTGTTTGTGACAAAGAAGGACGATGACAAACCTGCTCCATCACTAGAGGATAAAGAATTCTTGAAAATAATGGACAGAGAGTTCTTCCAAGATGAGTCATACAGCTGGGTTGCCCCTCTGCCATTTCGTAATCCCAGATGCCGGCTACCCAACAATAGAGAGCAAGCCATCTCACGGCTCAACTCATTGCGCCATACCTTGGGTTCATCTTAGGCAAGGCCAAATTAGCCCCACAACCAGAACATACCATCCCAAGGCTCGAGCTGTGTGGAGCCATTCTAGCTACAGAAGTGACGAAACTGATCTTAGACGAATTGGACATTAAACTGGATGCGGTTAAGTTCTACACGGACAGCAAGGTCTACTAGGCTACATAAACAACCAAACCAGAAGGTTCTACGCCTACATCAGCAACAGGGTGGAACGCATCAGGAGATCGACGCAGCCAGAGCAATGGAATTACATTCCAACTGAACAGAATCCAGCAGATCTCACAACTAGGTCCATCCCTGCATCTCTGCTGAAGCAAACCATCTGGCTGATTGGTCCAGCGTTCCTCCCACGACGTGACGGTGGCCCATGTACTACCAAAGAGACTTTTCGACTCGTAGAGCCCGAGTCAGACAGGGAGATTCGTCCTCAAGTGACAACTTTGGTCACAAATGTGCCACCAAAAAGTCCACTGAGTCCACACCATTTTGAACATTCATCGAAATGGACGACGCTCGTGCGAGCGATAGCACATCTAATGCATATCGTAGACTGCTTCCATTGCCCGATGAGAGGGACCACTGGTAGCTGCAATGTGTGGTATAACTGCACAGTGCCACGCACTGAAGATGAGCTTTCCAGAACAAGGAAATTAATCTTCCGCTGTGTGCAACATGCAGCTTATGCAAGTGAGATCAAGTCCATCAACAAGGAAGAAGATCTTCCTAGGGTCAGCTCCCTCAGGAAATTAAACCCCAGAATGGACAACGACAGCTTGCTCAGGGTCGGTGGTCAGCTAGGGAATGCAAAATTAGATGAGAGTGAACGAAACCCCCTCATAATCCCAAGCCAGAGCCACATCGCAATTTTACTTGTGCGCTACTACCATGAGAAGGTCAAGCACCAAGGTCGGCACTGCACAGAAGGAGCAATCCGATCTGCAGGGTTGTGGATTGTTGGAGCAAAGAGGTACATCACCAGCCCAATAAAACAGTGTAGCAGGTGTCGCAAGATACGTGGAAAATAGGAAGAACAGAAAATGGCAGACCTCCCAGCTGATCGACTCAGTATGGAACCTCCCTTCACCTCTGTAGGGATCGACGTGTTCGGACCGTGGACAGTCATCTCCCGCCACAACAGAGGAGGGCTCGCGAACAGCAAACATTGGGCAGTGCTGTTCACCTATATGAGTACACGAGCAGTGCACATCGAAGTCATCGAGTCCATGGACTCTTAGAGCTTTATAAATGCACTCCGGAGATTCTTCGCCATCAGAGGGCCAGCCAAGCAACTCCGTTCTGATTGTGGAACCAATTTCACTGGAGCATGTAAAGAGCTTAAGATCAATACGGAAAATGTTGAAGATGATTCTGTAGGGAAATACCTTAGTGACCAAGGCTACACATGGATCTTCAATCCTCCTCACTCTTCGCATATGGGTGGAGCCTGCGAACGCATGATCGGGATTGCTCGACGCATTCTCGACTCCATGCTGTGTGATGTCGGGTCCACACGGCTCTCTCATGAGGTCTTGACCACTCTCATGGCCAATGTCTCAGCTATAATTAACTCAAGACCCCTGATCCCTGTCTCAACCGACCCGGAGTCACCATTCATCTTGACTCCTGCTACACTTCTTATCCAGAAGACAGATGTGCTCACAGCACCCACCAAGGAGGTCAGCACTGCAGACCTTTACAGACATCAATGGAGACAAATGCAGAGCTTCGCCAACACGTTCTGGCGTCGCTGGAAAAACGAGTACCTTACGACACTTCAAGTGCGCAGCAAGTGGCAGTCGAACAGACCAGACATCCAAGAAGGTGACCTCGTTCTACTGAAGGACAACCAAGTCAAACGAAATGAGTGGCCAATGGGCCGCATCCTCAAGACGATTCCCAGTGCCGATGGAAAAGTTCAAAAGGTTGAGGTTATTATGATTGCGAAGCAAGGTGTCGCAAGAACTTTCGTCAGGCCTATAGCTGAGACAGTACTACTTCTCTCTCGCAAAAATATGCGCAAATAAGTTGACCCGTTGAAGTTTGTTATCCATTTGTTTATTGGATGGAAAATAAATGGTGGTTTCTCCTAGATACCAGATGGGGAGTGTTCTGCCTCACGGCAGGTGTGGGGGTGTGCATACACAGGAATTTCCTGTATTGATGTTGAGTTTGGTCATGTGAGCAGGAAGTTACGATTTGACATTCTCTAAGCCATAAGGCAGGGTGTCAGCCATTACACAGAGTACAAATGGAGGCACAAATAGCGTCTCAGTCAAGATAGGTGCATCTGTTCATTGTAGGACTTTAAGAAGCATTGTCTGTAAGTTCGTTTATGTTCTTATAATACTGGGAATGCTGTTATAATGTTAGGATGGCCGTTATAATGCTGAAAATACGTTTATAATGCTGTTAAATTGTTATGATAAATATGTGGCCTAGTTAACAACGAAGCCTGTCACTTGCATTATTGTTAATATTACTTGTAATTGAACAAGTCCAGTCAGACTTGTACCCATGTAACCTTATTGCGATCTTTAGAGCAAGGATGACGAAATATCTCACCCACAGTTCAGTGTTATGTGCAATGCTGCACATTTAGGCTGCAGTATGGTGATTACACGATATGCCCTTATTTAACACAGTAGCTTATTCTCTTGTATAGCTATTCAGTATTAATATAGGTGCCTGGTCCATCCAGGATATATTGTTGAGTTTCATGTTATCTAAGACAATGGTATGATGCTGTAGTGTTCATTCATTGTATTGATATTCAAATATTAAGAAATGCTGCATTTTGTGCTGTTTTTACATCAGTTTTACCTCCTTCAATTCATTAAATACGTTTGGAGTCGGATGTTCACCCTGGGTCTGAAGGTTTATTGAATGCGAGGTTATCTACTTGGATAGTGGTGCAACGCAGCGTACAGCGAGGCCGAGACAGATGGTGTTGCTGCTGTTGATGATGATGACGAAGATAGATTCATGGATCGACATCAGTAATCGTGACAGTGCCGACCGCATCACCCAGGTGCACAGCGACCCACCTTGATGACGCGCGCCAGCCCGAAGTCGGCCACCTTGCAGGTGAGGTTGTCTCCGACCAGCACGTTCCGCGCCGCTAGGTCGCGGTGGATGTAGTTCTGGGCCTCCAGGTAGGCCATGCCCGATGCCACCTGCGCAGCCATCTCCAACAGCTCGGGGACTCCCAGCATCCAGTGCATCTGGCCTGCGGGGGGCGAGGGGAAGGGCGAGGGGGGGCGAGGGGAGGGCGAGGGGGGGCGAGGGGAGGGGGAACGGGGGGGACGGGCACACGAGGATGGGGGCGCACTTGGGTGGGGGCGCAAGATGGGGGCAGGGGCACAGGAGGGTTCCACATCACCTACACTAATTAGTGCCGCCACCACCCTTCGTCGGCACACGGTTTAATATCTTATAACTTGAAGTAGTCTCATTGTGGTGAAATTCAACGTGGAACTGGCGGTACCAGACCTCGGCAGGAATCGGTTGCTGCCACCCGAACTCTGGGCGATAAATTCGTGGCATCGACTGAGTCAAGCCCAGTGGCGACCTTGCCGGTAAGGCGGGGCCTGTGCACCACTGCCAACTCAGCCGCAGCCTCACATTTGTATATGATTGAACAAGTGAGTGGGTGAGTGGTCGGATGAGTCGGTGGTCGGGTGAGTGGTCGGGTGAGTTCTGCCTCCATCCCTAGGCCTTCACTCACTGAGCCGTGGGGGCGCAGCGCTCCCCATCGCCTCTGCGTGGCGGCCTCCATGGGGAGGTTCCCCCTGTGACCGTGCGGTTTCCAAATCACAAGTGCCGAGCGGAAGGCCCAGTGGATCATGGATACGAGTTGACACTCTTCTCGAGTGACAGGGTGTAACACCTTGAGCCTGCACTACTGGTGGAATTCATAGACACCTCGGGGTCCGTGCCGACACATTTCCCATTTCAACAGCCTCACACAGCATCCACCCTCGCTTATTCGCTCCCCTTTATAACTTCATCACATCTCGGAAGCTTCAGCCTGGCGTGACCCCGGATGGGAAAGACTGCCCCGACACTTTGAAGGTCTGTTGTTGTAATAGGCTTTAGCTGCTACAATGTGGCCACAAGATGGCGGTGCAAAGCAAAATCCTTGCATCTAACCGTGGTGGCGCTTTGCATGTTACCCACTCGAGTATTAAGTGTGGTGGGGGTTTACTCCGGGCTCTCCAGTTTCGTCGAATTAACAAAATTGGCCAAACATCCAAACGGTTGGGGCATGCCGCTTCAAGCTGGCGTGACGCTCGGTGAGGCATTCCTGGCTTCAGGGGATCATGAGTACAATACTGTATAATGTACTTCATCAGGCACTGTACCATGTACTGTACTATCATACTGTATCACTATGAGTACAGTACTGTATGGGTGCAGCCTTGTGTGGGTACAGTTCCTTTTGTTCCCTTTGTAGTCACAGCCTTTGTTTTAATACTATTTCATGTCCCTCATTTCGAGTGATTCCAGCCGTGCTGAAGACATCGGCCTCAAGGGTGTGGACGTGTCCAGTCCGAGCTGTCACATGCCCCCCCCATGTCCCATGTTCGAGAATGGTCTGCGGAAGTGGACATCACCAAGTTGAATTTTGATTTAAAGCTTTCGTGACTGCAGTAATTCATATTCTTAGTTTTTTCGGTAAAGTCACGTTGAAGAGAAACAACAAAATAACAATATATATAAAACAATAAAAAATTCTCACGACGTTTCGACCATAACTCAAACGGTCATCATCAGGTGTGTTGGTTTGCATAAATTTATTTTTAAACGGCACATTTATTTATTTATAAAAAACGTTGGCGTCACGCGCAGCGATTGGCAGTTTGCCCAGGACTAGTCCATCTATTTTTTTTTAAAAGAGGAGGGGGGAGACGAAATTTTTATAATGTATGCTGTCTGAAAGCCACTGTAAGCGTGAACAATCAAGAACTGAAATTATTTATCAAATCTTTCCAATGATTGCTAAGATAGAATCCATCTTCTCGGTTGAAATTGTCTCTGTGCTTGTATATGTGGATAGCCTCATGAACGAATCTCTCATGGAAGCCAGATGGCTTACAAAGAACCTCCGTCTTGGAAAAGTCAATGGCATGTGAGCCTACTGAATTAGAACAATGATCTGCTACGGCCGAGGTGTTGGTCCTACCGTGTTTAAGGTCTGCTTTATGTTCACGAATGCGGTCCGAGACATGGCGTTTGGTTTCTCCAATGTAACTACTACCACAGAGGCAACTTAGTTTGTAGACACCAGGGTATTGTATGTCCGGAATCACATCTTTTACAGACGGAACCAGATCACGGATCCGTGATATAGATGGACTAGTCCTGGGCAAACTGCCAATCGCTGCGCGTGACGCCAACGTTTTTTATAAATAAATAAATGTGCCGTTTAAAAATAAATTTATGCAAACCAACACACCTGATGATGACCGTTTGAGTTATGGTCGAAACGTCGTGAGAATTTTTTATTGTTTTATATATATTTTGTTATTTTGTTGTTTCTCTTCAACGTGACTTTACCGAAAAAAACTAAGAATATCACCAAGTTGCTTTCTAAGATCCCTTCGAAGCGACCTCCTGAGCTCCACACTCCCGGAAGCACACATCCCCTCCCCCCTTCCCAACTATTAGAGAAGTGCGTTTTGCAAAGGCAGTCAAAATCGCATGCATTTTGTTCAATCCTCAATTCTCCAGCTTTGGCCAAATCTAATCACAAACGAACCCGTGCACATTTAGTGCGGTGCGCGTCGTGCATTGCGCGCGCGGTGCGTTTCTAGTTGCCGGACAAACGAGCGAGCGCCTACAGCCAGCAGTGCGCCGCCACGACGTCGTCTCCACCCCCCGACAGGTTTGCAAAGGCTGCGGTGTGGATGCCGTGCAGGTGCCGCAGCTACCATAGCATGGGTGGCGCGTTGCCCCAGCACGGGTAGACTTTGGTGGGTCTCTTCACAAGACGTGGTGGGAGCGTGGGGGTGGGGGGGGAATCGTCGTTTGTTCCTCGTCTCCCACCCACGCGGTGGTTTAGAACCCGGCGCGCTGCAGCCTTCGCTGCTGGCCGCCGCTGATAAGAAACCGCGGTTGGCGAAATCGGACTTTTACCCAACGCTGCTATGGCTCCATCTCACTCTCTCGCACGCTCGCCACAAAAAACCCAGACCCGAGTTGTGTAAACGCAATTCGTTCGTCTAAGCCGACTATCTGAGCCTCGTTAGAATACGACCTTTAGTTTCGGTAGCGTTTATGAATGTTTGTGCGCTATTTCGATTGCTCCCTGGAATGGCAGGTTGTTGTTGGTCCGCTTTCTATTCACTCAATTGTTTCACTTTGTGGTGAATGTATGGTTAATACAGACTTGATCCCTTGCAAAAGCTATCTATTTAAGGTGTGAACATCTGATAACCTCCTGTTTTTTGCCAGAAAGGGTAAAACTTATTCTTATGTTTTCATACTTTGATACTGGCAAAAAATGTCACATGATATGTTTAACTTTATGTCATGTTTTGTCATCGTGGTGACCCACACCATACTCTCTCTGAATGAGACTCCTACCCTGTGCAGTCTGGTTCTCCAATAACGCTGCGTGTTGTTTTAAAAACGCTGATTGGATACAACGCGATTAATGTAATTCCGGAACACGTTTTATAACGCGAATTGGATATAACACAGTCAAGTGAATGGAACTACGTCGCAGCGCGAGTAGGAATAAGCAGTTGAACGGCTGCCTCGACGTAGCATCATCACACAAGGCGGGGATGCTGATGGATGCTTCTAGATGCTACCCATCGTTTCCAATCCCGTGCCCCCTCCTTCCCTTTTTAGCACACAGCAACCACTTACCTTTGCATCCCTGGGACTATGTAGCCGTGACTGGGACAGGGCGGCTGTGCCACGGTCAGTCACTAGATCGACTCGGCCTCAAATGAGTGCCGTACCTGGTGCAGTGTTTAAACTGGTGAGAGAGACAAAGGCAGCCGGGCGTGGCGCTGGAAACCCCATGCCATTGTGTCCTGTTAGCATCGTGTGCAAGCGCGCATCTCTGTGTACACGCGTCTCTGTCTGCACGCTTGTCTGTAACATGTCTCTCTGTATCTGTGGGGAGCAGTAGTTGCAGTGGTTACTGCGCTACGCTGGGAACCTAGCAACCTGAGTTCAGTTCCGGCTCATGGCAAACACCAGTGATGGCTATCTGAATCAGTTTTTCCTGAGGTCAACTCAGCCTAAAATGAGTACCTGCTACATTGTGTAAACATCAAATGCGGCCAGGCATGGTCCTGGCCACCTACCCCCTCGTGTGCTGTGCTAGTCGTCATGTGCTCACTAACAGCACTTACCCCTGACAGTCTGTTTAGGCTATACGGAGGATCTTTGTCTCTGTGTACAGGTGCGCATCTCGGCATGCTTGTGTCTCTGCGTACTTGTGTCTCCATGTCTCTACGTGCTCGTGTTTGCTGCATGCGCGTGTCTTTGCATGCTCGTGTCTCTGTGAATCCGTGTCTCCCTGTTTCCGGATGCCCGTGTCTCCGCGCGCCATACCCTGCAGGCACTGGCGCAGGCTGCCATGTGGCATGAGCTCGGTGACGATGAGGAACGGTTCGCTGGTGGTGCACACCGCGTAGAGCGCCACCAGATGCGGGTGCCGGAACGCCTTCATCAGCTGCGCCTCCTCCAGGAAGCTCTCTGCGTCTGCATGTCCTGTGGAGGGTCCAGCCCACTTGAGCACGATCCGTTCAAACGAGCCCCTGCCACGCGGTGCTCTTTGCTCTGATCCACCTCTACTCGCTTCATTGGTCCCTTTTTGTGTTATTTATTATATGTTGTAATTTTTGGTGATCCAGGTCACTCTTGAAAAATGTGAGTATTTGGCTTGCTGCTATAAATATCCACATTGATAAGCCACTTCGTTGAGCTTATAATTTGTGATAACCAGGTCGCTTTTAAAAAAAGCTATGTAACTCAGTTCGGCGTTACCTGGTAAAATAAAATAAATATCGATTTAAAGCTTTCGTGACTGCAGGGATTCATCTTCTTGGTTCTTTCGGTAAAGTCACGTAGAATGAGAATAAAATAATAAAAATTAAACATAATAAAATAAAATTCTCACGATGTTTCGGCCACAACACAAGTAACCTTCAGGTGAAGAAACAGGACTGTCTAGAAGACAGCGCTCGAGTGAACACTGCCAAGCATGGGCGGCGTCTTTTAAGCTGTGGGAGGAATTAACATATGAATTAGCATGTAAATATGAGAGCGTGACGGAGAAGGGGGGGGGGTGACACAGAGCAACGGTGCGTTGCTCTGTCCTATGCTTTAAGCTGGACTACTATACAATGCAATATTATACCTTCCAATCTAAACCATATGGTATAATATATCTATGGATAAATTGCACCTTTGAATTATACAATGTGTTACTGTATGCTAACCTATACTTTAGACTAAAAAATATTAGACTTGTAATATTACACTATGTCTTATTCTATCAACCCTACTGTATACCACACTGCTGTATATTCACTACACAATTACGACATTATATATTGCCTTATGAATTATTTTCAATGGCTCATCAAGCGGATCCTTCTTCATGACTGGAGTGATGGCTTTGCGGATTGTGTAGTCGGAGTAACCATTAGACTTGAGAGCTTGGTGTACGTGCTTGAGTTCAGTGGCAATGTGTTCCTGGTCGGAAATGCATTGGGCACTATGGCATAGAGTCTTGATGAGGGAGTTCTTCTGGGATGGATGGTGGTGGGAATCCGGTTTTAAGTAAGCATCCATATGGGTAGCTTTCCTGTAGACAGAGTGGCTCATTGAACCATCAGGTCTCCTTTTAATTAGGACATCCAAAAAGGGTAGTTTGCCATCTTTTTCGACTTCCATGGTAAATCTGATGGCTGGGTGTATGGAATTGATGTGGTCGTGGAATTGGTCTAGAGCAGGCAGGCCATGTGGCCAGATGACAAAAGTGTCATCCATGTACCTCTTCCATAAGGTCGGGCATAGAGTGGCAGTCTGGATGGCGTCAGTTTCAAATTTTTCCATGAACACGTTGGCTACAACCGGAGATAGGGGGGAGCCCATTGGGGTGCCCTTAGTTTGTAGAAAGTTCCATTCCAGGTTAAGTATGTGTTGGTTAAGTAGTGTCTCACCAGGGGGAGTACATCAGTATGCAGTCCTTGATGAACCAAGTCTTCAATGATTGTGATGGTGTCAAGTACAGGAACTTTGGTGAATAAGGAAACCACATCAAAACTGACAAGCAGGTCGTCTGGAGACAAGGAAATACCCTTGATTGTCGATACCAGGTGAGTAGAGTTTAGTACTGCAGAAGTGGTTTTTCCAGTAAAAGGTCGCAGGATATCAGATAGAAAACGATCCAGTTTGTAGGTGGGGAGTTGATAGTGGAGACGATGGGACGAAGGGGTGTATCTTCTTTATGTATCTTTGTAAGGCCATATAATCTTGGTGGTCTGGCTGCAGAAGGTTTCAACGAGAACTGTTTGGTTTGATCAATTAATGCTGTTGAATCAGAAATGATTTTGTTGGTTTTAGTAACCAGGCTGTTGGTGGGGTCTCTTCTTATTTTTGTATAGCTACCATCGTTGAGTAGTTCCTGAATTTTGTTGTTATATTCTATTTTGTCCATGATGACAGTGGCATTGCCCTTGTCGGCTGAGAGATGACAATGTCATCTCTCAGCCGACAAGGGCAATGTCATCTCTCTTTTTTAATTGAGATAATTCAAAGCGCTCATCTTTGCTGATGTTGCTAGGTGGTATCTTAGCTTTTTTGAGGGTTGCAGCGATTTCAGATCTTGCTACGTCTGCAGCGATGTGACCCAGGCCCTTGAGTGCCACGTCGACATGGGCAATGATATCATTAACTGGTATGTTTCTAGGTGTGACTGCAAAGTTTAGCCCTTCAGCTAAAACGGCTTTCAGACCATCAGAAATAGAACTGTTACTGCGATTAATTACGACTTTGTTAACGTCTAACATCCACATATACAAACACAGACACAATTTCAACCGAGAAGATGGATTCTGGCTTAGTAACCATTATAAACCATTTCGGTTCTTAATTGCATTTTACGGTGATCTTCAGACCGCAGTCCATTCGCTGGCACTGCCCCTTAATACATTTCACACCACGGTCAATGATATGGTTTATAACATGTAGTATAATAATAAATAGTACAACATTGTAATGTTTAACATAATTCATAAGGCAATATATAATATCGTAATTTTGTAGTGAATATACAGCAGTGTGGTATACAGTAGGGTTGATAGAATAAGACAGTGTAATATTACAAGTCTAATATTTTATAGTCTAAAGTATAGGGTAGTGTACAGTAACGCATTGTATAATTCAAAGGTGAAATGTATCCATAGATATATACCATATAGTTTAGATTGGAAGGTATAATATTGCATGGTATAGTAGTCCAGCTTATAGCATAGGACAGAGCAACGCACCGTTGCTCTGTCACCCAGCACCCCCCTCCCCCTCCGTCGCGCTCTCATATTAACATGTTATGTCATATGTTAATTCCTCCCACACAGCTTAAAAGACGCCGCCCATGCTTGGCAGTGTTCACTCGAGCACTGTCTTCTAGACAGTCCTGTTTTTTCACCTGAAAAAGGCTATTTGTGTTGTGGCCGAAACGTCGTGAGAATTTTATTTTATTATGTTTAATTTTTATTATTTTATTCTCATTCTACGTGACTTTACCGAAAGAACCAAGAAGATAAAATAAATAGTTTCAGTCACCTTAGTAGGCTATCCTGGTCCCCCTGAGTCGAGTTTCTCACCTGGTTAATCAAAATAGAGGCGGTCCTTGACTTACGTTGATCCGCACTCATGGCACGTAAATTGGCACCCCTGTGATGTTGCTCACAGTGGTCGGACTGCACTCACGTTATGATGTCCACTCAGTCTGCCTCCCGACTCCTCGATCTGGTGCTAGACCTCTGTGCATCCTGATTGATGTGTAAGCATTTTGATTAATCTCATCCTTATAAAATATATATATAAAAGTCAAAAATTGTGTGTGGGTTTGTGGGTTTGTGTGTGGGTTTGTGTGTGGTCGCGCACTTGGCTCTCCAACGGTGGGGTTTACGTAAGAAAAAAGTAGCCAGGTACTACGCCGTAAGCCCCGCGGGCAGCAAGCACTATTCCTTTTTCACATCTGTCAACTTTCAATTAATTGAAATAGCGATTTAGTGCGATTTTTGCGCGCTCCCCTTTTATTTATTTATTTATGACGCATGCACGACCATACCAACTCACGCGCCTTTGGTGGGGGGAACGGCCCATGCCAAGTCGCACGTCTTCGGTGGGAGTGAGGGGGACATTTTCTTTCGCGTTAAAAATGCTATAAAAATACACTAAATGCTCAGGTAAATTATTCACTGTATGATTTCCTTCCCACCCCGATGCGTGCAGTTATTACTACTATACAGTCGCTAGATGCTACTACTATAGGCCGTAGATATTACTGCAGAGCGGCCGGGGAAATCGTTGCTGGGGAGGGGGGTCAGGGGTAGCAGCCCAACCCCAGCCTGCCAAGGTCCCACCTCGGCCGGCTGGACAATCTAGGCGAGGCCGGAGGCTCTGCACGGGACTACGCCTCACCACGCCACTTTGTCAGGTGAGTACTTTGTGCTATACAGTCGATAAATACTGATATAGAGTCAGAATGTACTACTGTAGTGATAGCATGTACCACCACAGTCGGGATGCACTGCTGTAATCATAGCAGGTACCACCACAGTATGCACTGCTGTAATCATAGCAATTACTACCACAGTCGGTATGCACTGCTGTAATCATAGCAGGTACCACCACAGTATGCACTGCTGTAATCATAGCAGGTACCACCACAGTATGCACTGCTGTCAGATTTTTAAGAGTAGTTTTGAAATATTTTTAAGAGCCGGGCAACACTGGGTACTTCCCGCTAGTGGCCGATAAAAGGAAAAGTTCTAGTAATGGTGTTGATAATATTTCCTATGGTAATTCCCCCTCTTTAAACTGCAAATATTCAGTCCAAATAAGCCAGGAATTATGAACTTTCTAAACACTTATTGTACATTATATATTGATTGGTAGTTGATTGTATATGCTACTAGCAGGTGTACCCGTTCTTCACACGGAAAATAATAGTTTAGTCCATCACAGATGTGACGTCACCGCTTACTTGCTGTGCAATAGATTATATCCATGATTCTCCCCCCTAAAATACAAAAGTCTATTTTTATACTTTTTTACATTGTGTACACTATGGAAGCTACACACATGCCAAATTGAAAGTTTGTAGCATGTTGGGAAGTATGCTAAACATTTCTAACAGACACATATCCACAAATTTCCCTTTTTATATATATAGATGTATTAAAATGTGCATGAAGTTGCATATCGGACCCTTGGTCAGGACCGTAACTCCCTATTATATCATTGTTTCTGAGAATATCGGTCTCGACTTGTGTTGTTTGGACTTTTGGAACCTTTTCTAGGAAAGTAACCCGACGGAGGTCTGAGGACGGCCTGTAAACAAACATGCTTCAAGTTACCAATTTATCACGTGTCATGAAATTTAGAAACATGCGACCAATGACTTTGTGGTGTGTTGTTGGTTAGCTTCCTGATTACGATTCTGAAGGTTACACGTAACTTAGATATCTCCCGTCTCGGCACAAGTTCAACCACGGGCCTGGGTCACCAGGTTTGCACTCTCACCTAGCCTAGTGATTCACCGTTATTTGTCTTGTGTGTCTTTACATCACACCTGCTTGTACATCTCACCTACATTTAATAATAATCTACGTTTCTAAAGTAACTTTCATCAGGAGGTCACAAGGCACTGTACAACACATCTGCCTCCACCTCTCTCCTGTCTCCACATCTCTCACCTGGCTTCAGGGTCTTAATGGCAACGGGGGTGGAGTGGTTCCACAGGCCCTGCCACACCTCCCCGAACTCCCCCTCTCCCAGCTTCCGCTCGAGGCTCACTGCCTCGGCAGGGACCTCCCACACGTCGCCCAGCGATCCCGTGGTCTCAGGGCCCTCTCCCTCGGGAACCTGGGAGTGACACCGACACCTAGGAATAACACTGACACCACACCTGGGAGTGACACCACACCTGGGAGTGACATCACACCTGGGAGTGACACTGACACCTGGGAGTGACACCACACCTGGGAGTAACACCACACCTGGGATTGACACTGACACCTGGGAGTGACACTTCACATACGCACACATCACGATTCCCTGTATAGTCTTTAAACAGACTGTTGGGGCTGGGACGGCACACGAGTGGGGGGAGTGCCCATTTCAGGCTGAGCTGACCTAGACGAGGCCCAGGACCGGATCAGGTAACTGTCACTGGTGTTGGTGGCGTTAAGCGTGAATTGAACTTGGGTAGCCGGAGTTGTAGCGCAACAGCATCAACTGCTGCACCGCTGCTCCCCAAACACACACACACGTATGAGCACACAAGACACATACACACAAAGATCCCCCGTGTAGCTTTGACTGTTAGGAGAAGTGCTGTTAGTGAGCACCTGTGAAGTCCGGCACGGCACACGTGGGGGTGGGTGGCCAACACCACGCTCGGATGCCTTTGTCTCCAACAGTCGCGATATTTTTACACACCGCACCAGGTACTAATTTTGAGGCTTAGTCGGCCTAGGGGAGGCCCAGAACCGGTTCAGATATTCATCACTGGTGTTGACCGTGAGCGGAAATCGAACTCGATCGCTGGGTTGTAGTGCAGCGCGCTATGCACTGGACCACCGCTCCCCAGACAGCATACACAGACACTTGCGCACACAGACACGCACGCAGACACGCACGTACCGCACGGCATGGCGCCCGGAGCTGGATGCAGAGCGCGGAGTCGCCGCTGCAGAGAGACTCCACGAGTGCGGCGAGGCTTGCGAAGCTGCGCTCCTTCGAGATGGAGAATCCTGTGCGGGTCTTCCTCACGCGCACGTGCTTCACCAGGTCTCCGTCGCGCACTGCACCACCCCCACCACAGTCATGAGCAGCGCTTACAGTGCCATCGCGATCGTACACCAGCACCATCACGTACAGCGCCATCATCATCATCAACACCATCACAACCAAATCATCATTAGCACCATCACATATAGCACCATCACATACAGTGAGGGAAAAAAGTATTTGATCCCCTGCTGATTTTGTACGTTTGCCCACTGACAAAGAAATTATCAGTCTATAATTTTAATGGTAGGTTTATTTGAACAGTGAGAGACAGAATAACAACAAAAATCCAGAAAAACGCATGTCAAAAATGTTATAAATTGATTTGCATTTTAATGAGGGAAATAAGTATTTGACCCTCTGCAAAACATGACTTAGTACTTGATAGCAAAACCCTTGTTGGCAATCACAGAGGTCAGACGTTTCTTGTAGTTGGCCACCAGGTTTGCACACATCTCAGAAGGGATTTTGTCCCACTCTTTGCAGATCTTCTCCAAGTCATTAAGGTTTCGAGGCTGACGTTTGGCAACTCGAACCTTCAGCTCACTCCACAGATTTTCTATGGGATTAAGGTCTGGAGACTGGCTAGGCCACTCCAGTACCTTAATGTGCTTCTTATTGAGCCACTCCTTTGTTACCTTGGCCGTGTGTTTTGGGTCATTGTCATGCTGGAATACCCATCCACGACCCATTTTCAATGCCCTGGCTGAGGGAAGGAGGTTCTCACCCAAGATTTGACGGTACATGGCCCCGTCCATCGTCCCTTTGATGCGGTGAAGTTATCCTGTCCCCTTAGCAGAAAAAACACCCCCAAAGCATAATGTTTCCACCTCGATGTTTGACGATGGAGATGGTGTTTTTGGGGTCATAGGCAGCATTCTTCCTCCTCCAAACACGGCGAGTTGAGTTGATGCCAAAGAGCTCCATTTTGGTCTCATCTGACCACAACACTTTCACTCAGTTGTCCTCTGAATCATTCAGATGTTCATTGGCAAACTCCAGACGGGCATGTATATGTGCTTTCTTGAGCAGGGGGACCTTGCGGGCGCTGCAGGATTTCAGTCCTTCACGGCATAGTGTGTTACCAATTGTTTTCTTGGTGACTATGGTCCCAGCTGCCTTGAGATCATTGACAAGATACTCCCGTGTAGTTCTGGCCTGATTCCTCACCGTTCTCATGATCATTGCAACTCCACGAGGTGAGATCTTGCATGGAGCCCCAGGCCGAGGGAGATTGACAGTTATTTTGTGTTTCTTCTATTTGTGAATAATCGCACCAACTGTTGTCACCTTCTCACCAAGCTGCTTGGCAATGGTCTTGTAGTGCATTCCAGCCTTGTGTAGGTATACAATCTTGTCCCTGACATCCTTGGAGAGCTCTTTGGTCTTGGCCATGGTGGAGAGTTTGGAATCTGATTGATTGATTGCTTCTGTGGACAGGTGTCTTTTATACAGGTAACAAGCTGAGATTAGGAGCACTCCCTTTAAGAGTGTGTTCCTAATCTCAGCTCGTTACCTGCATAAAAGACACCTGGGAGCCAGAAATCTTTCTGATTGAAAGGGGGTCAAATACTTATTTCCCTCATTAAAATGCAAATCAATTTATAACATTTTCGACATGCGTTTTTCTGGATTTTCTTGTTATTCTGTCTCTCACTGTTCAAATAAACCTACCATTAAAATTATAGACTGATCATTTCTTTGTCAGTGGGCAAACGTACAAAATCAGCAGGGGATCAAATGCTTTTTTCCCTCACTGTACAGCATCATTAGTACCACCATATACAAAATCATAATCAGCAGCAGTATTACACTCACCCATCCACCAGCCCACCCACACACAGACATACCCCTGTCCACCCACTCGCCCACACACAACACAATCTTCTACATATATAAAAGTAAAACATTTTCTTTGGTTCTTTCGGTAAAGTCACGTAGAATGAGAATAAAATAATAAAATAAAACAATAAAATTCTCACGACGTTTCGGCCACAACACAAGTGGCCTTCTTCAGGTGACTTTACCGAAAGAACCAAAGAAGATGAATCCTTGCAGTCACGAAAGCTTTAAATCGAAAAGTAAAACATTATCTGTGGGTTTGTTTGTGGGTTTGTGTGTGTTCGCGCGCTTGCGAACGATTTGCCTCTCCAACGGTGGGGTTCACGTAAAAAAAAACACAGGTACCACGCCGTAAGCCCCGCCGTGAGCAAGCGCTATGCCTTTTTCACATCCGTCAACTTTAAATTAGTTTAATTAGTGATTTAGGTGCGCTTCCCTTTTATTTGTTTATGCCGCATGTACGACCATACGACCATACCAACTCACGCGCCTGGGGGGGGGGGTCGGCCCATGCCAAGTCGCACGTCTTCGGTGGGAGTGAGGGGGACATTTTCTTTCGCGTTAAAAATGCTATAATAATAATACACTAAACGCTGACATTAATTCTTCACTGTGTTATGTCCCCCCCACCCCGATGCGTGCAGTTATTACTACTATACAGTAGCTAGATGCTACAACTATAGGCCGTAGATATTACTGCAGAACGGCCAGGGAGATCGTGGCTGGGGGGGGGGGTCAGGGATAGCAACCCAGCCCCAGCCTGCCAAGGTGCCACCTCGGCCGGCTGGACTAGGCTTCACCACGCCACTCTGTCAAGTGAGTACTTTGTGCTATATAGTCGATAAATACTGCTATAGAGTTAGCATGTACTACTGTAGTGATAGCAGGTACCACCACAGTCGGTATGCACTGCTGTAATAATAGCAGGTACCACCACAGTCAGTATGCACTGCTGTAATCATAGCAGGTACCACCACAGTATGCATTGCTGTAATCATAGCAGGTACCACCACAGTCAGTATGCACTGCGGTAATCATAACAGGTACCACCACAGCATGCACTGCTGCAGTGAAAGCAGGTACCACCACAGTATGCATTGCTGTAATCATAGCAGGTACCACCACAGTCAGTACGCACTGCTGTTAGATTTTTAAGAGTAGTTTTGAAATATTTGTAAGACCCGGGCAATGCCGGGTACTTCCCGCTAGTTGTAATATAAATGTTAAGGATTGTCATTATCGTATAGCCTGTGTTGAAGTAATCATCTTAAGTATAATCCTGCGTTAAAAAAAACATGTTGTTGACCACAGAACATTACATGACTCGAACTACAGGTGATCTGACACTTGCTTTTTATTGTAGATTAATATTTAAACAGGTTTAAAACGATCCTACTTAAATTCCTGTGGACACCCATGATATTTGGCATATTATAAACATCAAATACGTGTTTATACTGTGGCATTCCTTTAATTCCTTAATATTTTGCACCTTTGTTGACATGTGATGAGATTTTTGCATGAAAATTTTTGGTCGACTATGCCGCAATTTACGGTATTTTTGTAGTAAATAAAATATTTTACATAATACATTCTCAGAAATGTATTATTCATAGTCCCTCTGTACACGCGCAGGAATTGAAATAATGACATCTTCGTTAGATTTATTTGTATTTTTTTACATTTGTATTTTTTTCCTTGAATTTGGCGCCTCACTTAACTTGACGCCCTAAGCGACTGCCTAGTTCGCCTATATGCTCACCCCTCTCATCACACTCACTCCACTCTCATCACACTCACCACTCAGCCCTCTCAACACACTCACACCCTCATCCTGTTCTCATAACACTCACACCATCACCAATCACTCACCACTCTCATCACACTCACTCACACCCTCACCACTCACCCATCCGGATCTCACCCGAGAGGCTGAACCTGCCAGCACCTCCGTCCCGCAGCAGAAAGGCGCCGTGCTCGTTGGCGCTGGATAGCAGCACGCGCTCCGCCTCGACGCGACTCACGGTGCCGAAGAACCACCTGGGGAGGGGAACACGGTGAGGGGGGCACGGTGGGGAGGGGGGGCACGGTGAGGGGGACACGGTGAGGGGGGGGCGCACAGTGAGGAGAGGGCACGGTGAGGGGAGGCATGGTGAGGAGGGGGCACGGTGAGGGGGGGTATAGTGAGGGGGGCACGGGGAGGAGTGGAACCTTTTACTCAACTCTTACTCCTCCCCCATCACTCGCCCACCACTCCTCACTCGTCACCTCCATTCGTTGTTCATCAACCCTCACCACTCATTCCTCACCCTCTCCCATCACCGCTCACGTACGGCTCGGCGTGGAGGTTTGCGGCGCCGGAGCTGCGCCCCGGGCCCCCCCCCACCTCGCGCCCCGAGCCCCCGGGGCCAGGAGGTTCCCGCAGAACCTCCGCGCCATCGTCGGGGCACGCAAAGTCGACTCGGAACCCCTCGCTGTCTCGCGAAGGGTTTCTCACGAGCCCCCGGAGATCCTCGGTGTCGCCGATCTGGGATCCGGACCACAGAGTGTGGGTTGGCGTACGGTCCGAGGCGTGTGGATCTGAGGAGCCGTGGTGCCGCCACTGGGTCGCGGCCAAGCCCCTGGTTTTACCACTCGTCTGGCCCATGCCGAGCCGGCTCACAGCCCCGTGGGCCACGCTGCCATATCCTGGCTCTGCACCATCTGAGCGGGGTCCTCACGAGTCGCGTGGTGGTTAACTTTGATCTACGCAGCCGATGCCGCTCGTCACAGTGCGCAGCAGCAGGAGCAGCAGAAGATCGGTAACGACACAGCCACTGCGATGGAACGCGGCGGCCCACGTGGACGCGTTGCTGCCGAGGGACCGAGGAGCCCGAGCAGAAGCTGACAAGGCGTGGTTCGAGTAAAACACGGAGCCGAGCCTTCCTCATTTAAACTCTCCCCCCCCCGCCGACCGCCCTTGCGTGGAGGGAAGTTTGGCCACAAGCTCACCGCGGGTTTTTCCGCCCCCACCAGGAGCTGAACTCGGAATTTTGCTCTATCCAAAACAACAACAATTGAGCTGTGCAGAGCGGCACATGGGAGGTTTCTCCGGCGTTGTTCTCTCTGTCTCTCTCATTCTCGATCATCGATGTTCTCTCTCTCAGCTGGTGTTGTTGAAACCTCCGTCACGGTACGCTGTGACTCCAGGGGCAAGCCACCATGGCGGCACTCAACACCTCACTAGGGGAAGAAGACGTGGCCAGGTTTTCTTAATTTTGGCAAATGAGTGGTGATATTATTCACCTACCACTGTGGGAACCACCAGCTACTACTGTGGTAATGATCCATATCCCAATTCACTACTACTGAAGTAAACAATGTGTAAAAAAAATCTACAAATAGTTATATCTACCAATATGACCACTCCTACAATAATCCTGGTATGACAGTTCACCACAGTGATAACACTCGCGTTTGATTACTATCTAACACTCCACGGAGCATTATTACAAAGACACAGATTCCACGTTACGGTATAGCCTTTAACAGACTGCTGGGTCAAGTGCTGCAGAAGCGAGCACCCGCTAAGGCCAGCATGGCACACGAGGAGGGTGTTCAGCACCACGACCGGCTGGCCACCTTTTTCTACCCCAAATTATGTTTACACACTGGGCCAGGTACTCGTTTAGGGCTGAGTCAACCTAGGGTAGGAGCAGAACTGCTTTATATATTCGTCGCTATTACTGGCCGTGAGTGGGAAATCTAACTCTGGTCGCTGGGTTTGTCATGCAGTGCCCTTACGACTGCGCCGCCGTTCCCCACACGACATTAATGACTATAATCCCAGCTGTAATTAGTTGCAATGAAATTACACTATATCGTCCTCCCCCCCCAACTCCAGATCAAACACGGACTTTTCATTAGATCTACAACTGCAAATATCTGCTTATTATTCAAGCATTGCCCGTTTTATTGGAGTAAAGTACTCTCATACACCAAAAACGTGGAATCCACCCATTCCCTCTGTATGGGGTAGAGTTGCTGCCTCGCACGTGTCGGTTTTATCCGGGTGCTTCAGGTGTCCTCCCACATGTAAACACTCTTCATTCGCTGAACACATCTTAATATACTCTTTGGTTCTTTCGGTAAAGTCACGTAGAAATAAATTAAATAATAATAATAGAATACGACGTTTCGATTGCAACACAAGCAACCATCATTAGGTACAAATTAATGAGAAAACAAACATAGTAAACTTGGAAATATAATGCAATACAACACAGAGTCGGCCAACAAAACAGTCAACATCCCACCTGGTTACGTTCTTCCAGAGATTTCTGAATTTGAGAGAGAGACTAAACATAGATACGAAGACACACAGACAGACACACAAGCAGAGAGAGATTCACACAGAGACAAATATAGACACAAAGGCACACAGAAAGACAACGTCTCTGTGTCGAGGCCTTAGAGAGAGAGGGTTGGGGCAGAGGGGGAGTTGTGTGGAATTCCTGCCCATTGGGAACGGACGAGCTGGACCCTGGACTTCTAAACAAACAAGCACGGAGCGTTGTGTGGAATTACTGCTCATAGTGGCCAGAGGAGAGAATGGACTTATAAACAAGCACGGTCGAAAGCAAATTTAGTAATATTAGGAAGTGTAATGCAATGCACTGTTACCGCATAGCCTGGTCGATTACGTTCTTCCAAAGATTGCTAAATTAGAAGTTGTGTGAAACAAACAAGCACGGCATTGCATTACACTTCCTCATTTTACTAAATTTGCTTTCGACCACAGAGATTGGGCAATTGTGGCTGCTGGCTGACCGCCTGGCTGCTGCCTTCCCGCTTATCTGTTGGTTCCTCCTCGCACCCCTCTGGCTTGTCCCCTCTCTACGAGAGCGAGCGAATACCGTGCGGCAGTGGCGGTGCGTTACAAGTTGATGTCGTGATTATTGTTTTATACAACTGTGGGGATGTGGAAACTGGGAAATGCATTTTAACACGTAGGCTTTCGCGACCCACAGCATTGTAAATGTAAATGTTGTGGGTTTATTCTCCAAGATACCCATGTCCTGAACTCGTAATTGTCACGGTTTGTTTACATGAAAAACCTTATTAATTGGTTGACGGGTGGTGGTGGGTTTAACGACACATTTATATTTATGCGATCTAACCAAAAAACACCTCAATTAGGGACATACATGGCTCATCATCAGCCATGATTGATCCACTGCTGCATAGATGAAGGCCTCTCCAAAACCGTCGCCACCTCACGGTCGTGCGATATAACAATTTACCCTGCACACCACTCCGATCCCTCATCCCTTCTATCTGTGTCGTTTCCTGGCCCAATCCCCACTTACCTTTCTTAACTACGTGATGTTATTTTAAACTGTGTACGTTCTCGAATTCGTATCGTCCTCTCCACATCTCAGTGGAATTCCAAACATGCACCGCTCTCCACGCTTAAATATTTGTTTCGGGTATCAATGTGAAAGTTCCATATTTCTAACGCGTCAAAGCAGTCAATAGCGCCGCGGTGGCTAAATGTTAACTACCTTGCCTGGTATACAGGAGATCATGGATTTGATCCCAACCTTCACGCCTGTATATTTGGAGTTTGCACGTTCTCTCTCCCCGTAGTTGCATGGATTTTTCTCCGGTCCTCCGTTTTTTCCCTCCACATTTAGAAACATGCGTTTATGGTGTATTCCATGTGATAAGCCACTTCGCTGAGCTCATTTGTGGCCTGGTTGCTTCTAAAAAGAGCTATATAGCTCAGTGGGCCTTACCTGGTAAAATAAAAAAGTTTAGTTTTTTTAGTTTGGTTAATATGAATTTGTTTAAAGCCTTCATTTGGTGCGTAATGTCCAGAATTGACAACACATACACACAGAAGTGTGCTGCAATTATCACGGTTGGCTACGTACAGAACAAAAGACGTTCAACATACATATAAAGATACAAGGCACCTTCTATCGTTCTGCGAAATGCATGCCATTGAAGGTCCTCATCATGGAACGCCTCTGTTCCTTCAGCATGAACGCGTGTAGGGTAAGCGACATGACACGACCAGTTGCAGTCGATTCCATTCTGTCACCAGAACTACACCACCATTTTTTAAATAATCCTACACTTTATCTCAAACATTTTATATACAATTTCATAATTGTGTTGTGCAGTAGAACCACGCGGAGACGGGATTTATATAAGGGCTGTTGCCGTTCTACTAACACTGTTACATTCAGTACTCTAAGCTCACACCAGAGGTAGGTGCTCTCTATCTGGGTCCTTACCCCGGACACTATTTCGTCCTACCCTCTCAGCCGATCCTTTCTGAATACTCGGTGCCCTACTCTCGGCTATCCCCTTGGCTCTCCCACTCGTCTGCCCGGTACGGGGGTTCAACCAACACCGCCCGGCGACGAAGAGCAAGAGCCCTCTCCAATCGATCCGTGCCCTGGCTCCCCACAACGAGCACGTCTTCGTCACGGGGTCCCCCTTAAGTACCCCTTTGGTGGCTCCTCCCCCTAGCTCAGACCCGCCTTTATTCCCGTTATCCTCTGTCAACTCGCTCACACCTCCCTCTGTTTGCCCCCTCGTGGTTGCTCACACTAGAACTGATTATATGCCTGGCATTAAGGCGCTTTATACATCTATATAAGATTCGAGTCCCAGCCTATCTTCCCAGGAGGCCCGATCCTTTGTCCCACACCTCTTTGTATCCCCTCTTCTGCTTTCTCACCAATCGGTATCTTGGGGGGTCCCCTCCCAATCTATCCCCCCCCCCCCCTTTTTCGCTCCTAACTTTCCCGCGCCTTACTTTCCTGAGCGTGGTGCCCTGCGTGACCCCTGCATCTAACTTCAGCATGACCCACACCACCTCCATCTACATTACGATGCAACCACAAATTTGCACGCACATTACAGCGCTCTCAGCCTTGTCCAGACCACCAACTCCAGAGCCAAACGTGTGGCCGTATCAGTTTCCCCATTGCCATTGTAATTTAATATATTGTGGGCACAGTTTCCCCTCTGCAGGAGACCCAAATAAATAAGCAACTAGAGCTGCAATCGTGCTGTGTTCCTCATTCTGCAATGTGTTACATTGCAGCATTGCGCTTCATGTTGCATCCTGTAGATGGGACCCCCCGCCACATCTCGACACCCTAGCCCCTCCCACAAAAAACTACGAGGCGAGATGCGACTGGGCGAGGTACCGCACCCACCACGCACTGCTGTGACACACCGCTTGCAGGTGCGCTTCTGGCCAGCCACGCAATGTGGGCAGATACATGAGCAGCAATCGGCATTACACAGCAGCAGCAATCATCGCCCACTACTGGCAGTAGACTAATTCCCACTTTGCCGGCCAGGTGGTGACCGAGTAAACCTTGTGACGCACAGGGACAGCTACTGTACCACTGGAGGTGCCCTAGGCTAGACCACAGAGCAATCGCCCAATAACTGGCAGCCTTATGCCCCGTTTGCAGGCTAGGTGCCGAGTCACATTGTGCCACGCAGACAGCTGCTGATCGGGGTGTCATTTCGAATATGTCGAGATAAGATGTACATCTCTCTGAAAAACCGTGGCAGATTCTTTTTTTTTGCTAGCCATATAGCTCTTTTTCAGAAGCGACCTGGCCTAAAATGATAGCTCAACAAAGTGGCTTGTTGCATGGAAATTTATAGCAGTCCAAATATTATAAACGCACATTTATTCTAAATGTGGAGGGGAAAAGCGGAGGACCCGCAGAAAAATACACGCGGCCACTGGGAGAGAGTGACACACAAACTCCAAATATACAGCAGGCGCCAGGGTCGGGATCGAACCCATGACCTCCTACATACCAGGTGAAGGTAGTTACCATCTGTATCCTAGCCACCCTAATAGGAAGGGGCTGCATGAAAAACACCGCTTGTCAAGTCGCCATACAGACGCCAAGGGTGAATGAGTT